GGAACAGTAAGAGGTTAGCATGAAAATGATGAACTTCAACGCACTTTGCAATGACAGCAAAGGAGAAACCCACATCAACACAAACCTGCCTTACACAGTTGGGAGTGGGGGGGAAATCTTCTCGTGACATCTGTATACTGGTGAAAGCTCAACTACAGAGGCAGCTGAACAGCTGAAGAGTGGCAGGGTAGAGACTGCTGACTTCATGTGGGGAATTGATACAACTATCTTGGCATAGCCAAAGCGGCTGCAGGAGGGCAGTCGTATGCTACGTACAGAAAACAGAAGATCAGCAGCCATCTTGCCACAGTGTCTCCATGCTTCTATTCCAATGGAGAAAAATCAGCTTCCTCACTTGACAACCCTCAAGTTTTGGAGGACTGATTTTTGGGGAAAGAAAGTGAGCGCGTGAGTAAATACAGTACTAAGAAAAAGCTTTAAGTGGCTTCATGGCCAGAGCCGGCAACAAAAAGAGAGTCCTGTGCTTCAAACAGGCTAGTGAAGAACATGGGGGCTCCAACACGTCTGGAGAGGTCACAGCAGCTCATAAGGTGAATCCCCCCCCACCCCCACTTGCTTTAATGTTCTCCAGGATAAGCCAATAGATCATGAGGTTGTTATCCAAGTGAAAGGCCTCGACTTCATGAACTGCAGCATGTCAGGTGACCTGCTTAAGGTCCACTGCAAGTTCCTAATGCAGCGACCCACGAAGGGTTCACACCAGGCCAGCTGGTCTATTAGAGAGCATGTGAGGAGCTGAGAAGGAGACTTCCAGCTGGCACTCCAGGGCAATCCACTATGTCGCTCCATTTCCACACCCAATGGATTTTCTGAGCTCCACGCTGTATTTCCTGCTTCCTGCCTCCCCAGTGACTGGAGTTCAGCTACTGATGTCTGTGAAGCTCTAACCATGAGAGCAAACCAGTTTGTTCTTACTAAAACTTAGCTTGAATGTATCAGTAAGGTTGGGAAAACAACAGAAGTACTAGCAGTGCAGAGTGCTCTAGAAAAGGGGGTTACTACCTTCCTGTGAGACATCCGGTACTGACCGTCATGGGAGGAGGAGACCAGATAGACCGACAAGACCATTACAAAGGCCTTAACAAGTGACCTAGATAGGGATGGGAAGGGACACCACAAAAGTGTCTTGTATCCCACAGGTCACACACACACTCATCCAGAACCACTCCTAGCCTTGCATCCTCACCTCTAGGAAGAGGAATTCTCCAAAGGGAGCAAGATGGAAAGAGGACTTTGCCTATCGAATACAAGCCAGGCAAAGCAACTGCCTCTGCAGGTGCTGGATGGGTATTACAACCTCACAGAGCTGCACAACGTTGACCTGGTAGATGTTTGACACAAGGTTTCAGACCTTATCTAGTCCAACCAGGAAGCCCAACTCAGTCCAATGCCCACTGCACAAGTGTCCAGGAAGGCGCTGTGCGAGTCTACACACACGATAGCACAGTGCTCAGGCACCCTGCCAATCCCTCCCATGCTAAACCAACACCTCTCCAGCACTCCTGATACCACATATGGAGGGGACACAGTTCTAGCTCTACTGCAGACCACAATGGTGTGAGGTAGGTGAATATGTTGAACCTGCATTTGTGAATCTCAAGTTGCTCTCTGTTGAATCAGCTACTGCCAATGCACATAGTTTTACTTTACTTTCACAGCGTATACTATGCCTGGCAGTCTGGCTGCACTCTTTTCAGCACCTGTGGCTGGAGTCATTAATTTACTGAGACAAACATACTAGATGGCATAAGCTGGGCTACGATTTGTTTGCGAGAGGAAGCAGAGACACTTACAAGTAATGAGAGAAACACACCTACCATGACCATCTTCCTCTGCTCACACAGCTTCTGCAGCTGGTAGGACTTCTCCTCAGCTTTGATGTAGCCTTTCTTTACATCGTCTACAGCCTAAACAGAAGGGGAGATCAAACAGGAGAGTTCAGCCTTCAGGAGCTAATGACAGGCTCTTTGCTGGTGCAATAAGTAGGATTTTGCAAACACCCAGTAAGGCCACAGCACCTTTGCACAGAGGAGAACCATTAGATCCACAGCACTGATTCGAACTCAGATGGGTGGATGAAACAATGTGCTAAAATGTAACAGTGGGTCGGTAAGAGCAGAACCCAGGAGTCCCAGTCCTCAGTTTGCCCCTCATCTACCCAGCCCAGCAACATAGCCAAGCCATGCAATCCAGGAGTGCTGGCTCCCAGATCTTGTCCTGGCCACAACACGTGCTCTGAGCCAAGGCTGGGATGGAAGAGAGGAACGCAGCTCCTGGTCCCCTGAATTAACCTCTAGGTCAGAGGTGCTCACCCCCAGGCCATGGGCCAAATCCAGCCTGCAGAGCCAAGGAACCTGGCCCACAAGGCTCTCCATTGATCTGGAAATGTGGCAGCAGGGAAGTGGTAGCAATTAACATTGCCACCCTCTCTCGTTGCTAAATTAGCAAGCCCAGCCACCCTCTCCTCAGCTGGACTGGGCATTGCCCATCCAGCCCACAGGCCAACAAGGTTGGGCACCACTGGTCTAGGCCATGCCCTGCCTGGTAAATGGCTAAGGGGAAGCTCGTTCCACTGCAGCCCCTAGGCTGAATGAGCCTCCAGGTGGCCGTGGACATTGCTCCAATAGAGCAGGGTGGGTTATATGGGGGGCTGGGTTTTCTCCTGTTTCATTCCTGGAGAAGGGCAAATCTCACACTGGCACAACAGAAGACTTGGTTCTGCAGGACCCTGGCAGGTACAGCTAGACCAAGCGCCTTTTCTCATCCCCACCGGTCCCTGTCCCACAATGACCCCTTCTACTGGCTGTGATGCTTCAAACTACCTTATGGCTCAGAACCTGGCTGGGAGGATAAGGGTGGTGATAGTTTATCCTTTCACTTCATTTGGTAGTAGCCATAGGCTCAGCTCCAGACTCTGAGCACCTCCAGGCCTGGTGTCTACTAGTGAAGGCACAAGAGAGTGACTCTGGGACTCTCAATCCTGGAGCAGGAGGGGTCAATGCCAGGCCCCTACAGAGAAATCCCAGAGGGAAGGGAGGGTGCTGTGCCCCTGGGGTGGCAATCCCAGCACACAGGGGCAGGGGGGGCAACATCAGGCCCCCAGGGACTAATCCTGGCATGAGGGAGTGGGAGGGGATGATGCCAGACCTCAGGGTCCATTCCTGGCAATCGAAGTGGGGACAGGACAGTGCCAGCCCCATAGCCCGATCCCGATATGCTGATCAATTTGGCCCGTGGTTGCCCCACTTATCTGGCCCATGGGACCAAATGCTACCGATCTACACAGAAGCTAGCCTCCCCTTCAAAACTGATTTTTTTTTGGGGGGGGGGGGGGGGGGAAATGGGGAATGGCAGATCTCAAATTGTATAGCACAGTTTTGCAGTAAGGGGGAATCCTGCAGTTCCTGTG